TGGTGACTGTGGCTGTGACATAATGGTAACTATCCAAGGTGTTACCATTATGTCACAGCCTTCATTTTCCACATGGGACAAATGGCCCATTTGCGTGCCAAACATAAAGATATTACTCAGACCCATGGGGGACGGTACGAACGTGCGTCCGAGGGTGTGCGCGGCAAATTGCGCGGCGAAGTTCGTGACAAATAAATATAAACGATAGTGTTAAAACAAAGTATTAAGATATAAGGGGGGACGAATCAACTTGTACAATTGCGGCGCCAATTTTCGGGGCACAAACTCGAAGTGGTGCAGTTTAGTAGGGTCGGATGATCCTCCTAATCCACTCTATTTCAAATCTAGGCCCCATTGACAGGCACCAAACTCGTTCAAACCCTTACGAACTTCGCCGCGCAATTTGCCGCGCGCATCCTCGGACGCACGTTCGTACCCATACCCAGACCCATTTGTGTTCAGCATGATACAGACAAAATTCCCCACCAAATCTAAAGGTGCACAATCCAGGAACTCTCAAACTTGGCACTTTGCCATGTTGTGACTCAGGTGGTTAGTTGTGTAGGCGTTGTTTCTTTGAATGGGCACAGCTCATTTCCCAACTCATATGCAAACTTCTGCAGGGAGCGGAAATAAAAGAAAGAAGATAAACAACTAATTGTGGAAACGCAAATAGAGGGGGCCGGAGGCGGGGCGTCCTCATACAAAATTAATGTGATTGTCCAGGGAAGCACAACTTCACAGTTGAGGGAGGTAGGGCCCCGACACGGCCGAGTCGCACTTACATTGTCGTGAGTACGACTTAGCTGGGAACTTTTTACCCGAACTCCCACGGTCGCAGGTATGCACGCGGCACTCGTTTTGCAACAGTTACTGTAACTACCCATTGGAATTCAATTTTCGCCCTATACGGGACAAACTTGGCCAGTTCGCTACGGCGTTCAGGTGCATGATCTTCCCACATTCGACCTGATTGTGGGACAGGATGCGCCATGGGGCAGTCTCGTTAAAGCTACGTTGGAATCACTGCTTGGTGATACCACTTCAAACGTTGACGAAATTTGTGCAATTGCACAAAAAACTGACTACAGTAGTTAAAAATGCTAAAAATTGCTTCATATATCTCTATTGGGTCATAATCCAGGAGGTATTGGAATTTTCATCTCATATGCTCCATTGCGAATGGTTCAGCGTCTAAACACGTCCACTGCTGGGTGTTGTACGCAGCAAATACAATTTCGAGATCATATTGTGCCCTACTAGGGCGATTTCCGACCCGACAACACCCCGTGTGCTTTACTTGGGATTAAAGACATACAGAGATTGAAGGCAGAGCCTACGACACGAATGTTTCCTGAAGTTCCCAGTGTTGAATTTTGGCGACCATTCTTATGGTGAACTAAGCCTTTTTAAAGGATACCTTCCTATTTTTAAACCCAATTCTCCACAAGACTATATTTGCCTTCAAATAATTATGAAGCAATTGAAAAATTGCTACTTGATTCGGTACTTTTAACTTTCAGAGCACGTTTGATTTTGTTGTTTTCAGAATTGCAGTCGACTCGTTCGAAGCGTTTCATTGGACCAGCCCAACGTTTGGAGGATCTCATCGCTGCTCTGTCTCTAAATTATGCAGAAGTGCAGGATGATTGCTAAAGCATGCAGATATCATTTATCGGAGTGGACTTTATATTGAATAAATATTCAATAGTTTACGATTTGCCGCGCTACCGCG